CACTTTTGCCGAAGTCAAACAACGTCTCTTAGATTTGGATCACGAGCAACCTTCCTCCCCTGTCTCCTCCTCTCCTCAAACGGCTCTCCTTACAACAGAAAGAAGGAATGCCAGGTCTCCTCGTCAGTCCTCCTCCTCCTCCTCTCAATCTGCGTCTCGTCAACAGAAGCCGAAAGAATGTACCTGGTGCGTTAAACACAACCTAGGCAAACATCTAGGGCATACGTGGAGCCAATGCTTCAAGCTCAAGAAGCACCAAGAGGAACAGAAGTCTTCGGACAAAGGAAAAGAAAGAGACACCGCTATGGTCACGACTGACTCGGACAATGGAGAGGTAAAGAACACATCATTCTATTTTGACACAGGAGCAACCTCTCACATGTGTCCCTCCCTAGGACGTTTCGAACACCTCGAGAAATGTTCCAGATTTGTGAGATCCTCGTCTAAGGACTCCATGTCTGTTAGGGGAAAGGGAACTGTGGTGATGGACTGTGTACTTAGGGATGAATCTGTTTCTTCTTTTCGTGTTTCCGATGTTCTTTATGTTCCTGATCTTGAGCGAACTTTACTTTCCTGGAGGAAAATTAGAGAAAAAGGGTATACTATGGTGGGAGAGGGGGATTTCATTTCTATTGTTAAAAGGAATAAAACGATTTTTGAAGCTTCATTTGACGGTTCTTTATTTAAGATTCCTGAGGTCACCGACTCTGCTTTTCTTACCTATGACTTTTGGCATTCAGCTCTAGGACATCTAGCTCCATCTTCTATTCAGACAGCTAGAAACCTCTACGCCGACACCACTATCATTCCTCCTGCCCCTGATTCCTTTCACTGTCCAACCTGTTCACTCGCTAAGTCTACACACCATACACCACTATCTACTAATACTCGAGCGGAAAGCAAGTTAGAACTTATTCATTCTGACTTGTGTGGACCTTTTCCCGTTCCTTCTTACGCAAACTCCCTCTATTACATTTCCTTCGTTGATGACAAGACCAGAATTTCATGGGTTCGCTTTCTCAAGAAGAAATCCGATGCACCCAAGGCTATTGAAGATTTCGTGACTGAGATGGAACTCCAATATGGTTCGCCCATCAAACGTTTCGGGACTGATAATGGAGGAGAATACGTCAATGGAAAGCTACAAGATTTCTTTGCTTCCAAGGGATTTGTTCACGAGTTAACCCCTCCTTACTCTCCGGAGTCCAATGGTGTTGCTGAAAGACTTAACCGAACAATGGGTGAAACAGTTAGGACCATGTTGCTTCCTCTCAATGACAAGCGACTATGGGCAGAAGCAGTCATCAGCAAACCTGTAGCCTTCGCCAGACGCCCGGGGTGCTCAGGGCGCTCAGGGCGCTCGGTAGGTAAACTACCTCTCCAGAGATACCGCCAGTGCTCCTGGCGAGGTCTGGCGCACATTATTCCGCCCCAGCGCACACTAGTCCGCACAACGGGCCCCGACACTAAATAATAGCGCCCGGTGTAACTAGGACGTCACTCTACCCGCCAGAGAACGCCAGTTGCACGGTTGGATATCCTGACTGCTCCTGGAGCACTCTTCACTGCTCCAGCGGGCTCTGGGATAGAATGATTGCCCTGACTCCCCCTGACGTTGCCGGATGGGGTGCTTTGAAATCTGGCTCATGCCCGACGTACCGATTCCTACATGTCGGCGCCCCGTTCTCTCTAGGCATACACCTCTCCGCCGTTCCGGCCTCTGGTATTCACAATTCCCCCATGAGATTACAACAACATCACTCGCACGACGATCTCTACTGTCTCCAGAGCACTCGCGACTGCACTTTGAGAATTGGTGTATTCAACACCGTGATCCTCCGCCTAATACTAAATACAATACGCCATTTAACACCCTAACTAACCCTAATACAATATACGAATCAGAAGAAATCCCCCACTATCTCTCTTAGCACTCGTGATTGTTCTACACATCCTCCTCCCCCCCCCCTTCGTAATCCCCCGCTACAGGTAATTCCGGCTCTTCTTCTTCCTCCTCCCCCTCCTCTTCGGTGTCAATGCCGCGAAGTCGGGCATCAATCACTTCGTCCTGGGCGCTGTCGGAATCAACCCGACCTCCTGGAGCACTCGTGGGTGTTCTCCGAGCATCTCGGAATGCGGCAAGATCCGCAGCCAGAGCTTCATTGTCCTCGCTAAAACCCTCCTCCGGTATAATCTCAATCGTTACCCCTTTTTTATCTCGTATCTATTAGGGTTAGCATTTAGAATACCACTCGCATTACCGGCATCTAGAAGTATCATACCTTTTCTCGAAGGTTATCTTTGATTACCTCCAAGGTTGCCTCCTGGTTCTGTTTACTTCTCCCCTTCCAAGTGTTGCTCATCCTGTTGAACGTTTCTACTCGTGTTTGGATGTCAGCTTGGCAATCCCGCATAGCCCTAGGAGCATCCGTCATTGCTCCCAAGGCACTCGCCATATCAATGAGGGCATCGGGCCATACTTACTCACAACACTCTCATTCTGCGACTGAAAATTATCAGGCTTCACGTAACTCCCTGTTGACCACGCCCGAATGCCGTGCCAGATCGCCGTCGATATCAGGCTAATAAGGGTAGGGGTTATCCGCTCTAGAAATTCGGGATCCCTAACCCCTCGCATTCTTACCCCATCGAAGTATTTAAAATACAATATATCGATAATTTCCGGAGCCAGGAAGCGCAGTCGGTAGGTCTAGAATCTGTTACCGGCTATCCCGAGTGCTCTCTGGGCATCCACTGGCATCATACCTCGTAATGCTGTTGGGGGCTCAAGAAACGATCATTCTTCAAAAGGTATTCCACTTGAGCCGCCCTCGCCTCAGGCCCCACAAAATTTCCAAGCCCGTATATCGTAGAGTCCTCCAGGCACCCTTTCACCTCGTGCATCAAGTGGGAACGGACACGGGAGTGCAGACCTCTGACCTATCATTCTCAATTATGCTTCCAGAGCACTCGTAATCCTTTTGGGGGCACTCACCTGTTTAATAACGACCTGATCAAGGTCTACTCTACACCCCACTCGGCGACTAGCAGTTGCCCACATGCTCACTACCAGTACTGAAAGTCTTGCTGCAGGTGGAAAGGGCTCATGTAGAAGAGTATGCTCCCCGATTAACACGCTACACTCCTTCTCAATCCTCTGAGCCTGCACTGACAGCACATTTGCACTCCTAGAGTTAGGGACCACAGACCTCTGAGTCCATTGGCTCGAAGGAATGTCGCCAGTGTTCTCAAAGACGTCGTGAGTGTCCTCCGGAATACTAACCTCGCTTCCCGGAATCAAAATACCCTCGCTTTCCGGCATCGGAGTACTCTCGTCCCCCCACCTAGATGAGGAAAGGTACTCGATTTCGTAGACTCTTCGCGATCTACCTTGACCGTGAAGTTGGCTTGAAGGAATCTGACGACTGCTCACAGAGTTCTCGCCAATTACCTCGCTAGGCGGTGAAGAACGATATGTCCGGTAAGTGGGGGACGACTCCCCGTATCGAGAGCGCATCGAGGAAAAATCGATATGGCGCGTAGAAGAGGTATACTCATGAGCATAAACAGGTGCAGAGGGCCTAGACTGTGAGGGTGTTGGGGGTGCTCTCTGGGATGCCGGGAGTGCTCTCTGGGATGCATTCTGGCTGGGTGCTGAAGTGGGTGCTGCTCTCCCTTGACCTTGTTTACGTATTACTTTCGCGCCTGGTCGAGTTCCCCTCTGAATCGTTAGCCACTAATACTTACATGTTAAAAAGCATCAATGAGCGAGATAGAGTCGAACCTGTACCACGTCCACCGACACGTTGGAAGAAGCAATGACCTCCGCTACCGCGCCAGTTGGTTTCCTCCGAGCATTGCCCAGTGCTCTGGCAGTAGTCGGCTGAACTGTATGAGGTCTCTTTCCGACCGTCTGAGACTTCTGGGTGTAAGATGGGGGGGGGCTTGAGGTTCATCCTCCGGTTCATCCTCATCCTCCTCAGAGCTCTCGTGGTCATTCTCCGGAGCATCATCATAGTCTGAGTGGCTAGTATCAACAGTTTCTTCCACCTCTGGCGCCTCAATTGCCTCTGGCGCCTCAATTGCCTCAGGCTCCTCCTGCGGTTCAAAATTATCAGTATGGTCCTCGGGGAGATGAAATTCTACCCTCCTAGGACTGCTCCTCTCAGTGGGGGTTTCGGAGGAACGGAGAAGACCTTTCCGAGTTATTTGAGCGGCGGTGGTCGATTGACTACTCCGAGTGCGGGCTGGCAGTGGAGTCAATGTTCGGTAAGATATTTCAGACTCGTCAGTCAGTAAATCTTCATGTTCTTCAGGTCGTTTTGGGAGTCGTGGGCGCTTTGGGGCAAGAGGTGCTGAACCGGAGGAGCGCTTGGTGGGAGCCATTCTGATGACTGGCAGGAATATCCGCAGTGCTCTAGGAGCACTCGCGATATCTTCGATTAGAAATCAATTCTTGGCGAGAAAATTTGCGCCGCTAATCAAGAAAAATTTGCACCGCTAATCCTCTTACGGCAGGGATCATCCTATGTTACCACAATTTCTGCACTCAACCGCATCATTTATCATCACTCGTTTTACTGCACTTTCTGAAGCGGTACCGAGTGCTCTGAGAGCAATCTAGGAGTTTGATTCGACTTTGAAATAAAAGCAATGCAATTACTACCTGGAATAATCTAATCTAATCTAATCTAATCTAATCCTATCCGATATAACCCATCCATTGATATACTCTCGCAAGACAAAGGGAAATCCAAAACACCAAATCGTACCGCACCTCAATAGCTATCGCGAGTGCTCAGGGAGTAATCCTAACAACGATTAAAAGGTTAGTGACAATTCCGCAGGAAGGGAAGTTAGAGATTATACCAAAGGGAACTAATGATGCCCACCACCATCACCACCATCACCACCACCACCATCACCACCGCCTCCAGCTGGTCCTCCACCACCACCGCCGCCCGGAGGAGGAGGAGGTCCGCGCGAAGGCGGTGGAGGTCCTAGACCACCACCACCACCACCACCACCACCACCACCACCACCTCCACCACCACCACCTCCACCACCACCACCTCCACAACTCCACCTCCACCACCTCCACCACCTCCACCACCACCTCCACCACCACCTCCAGCACCAGCAGCCGCGAGTGCGTCAGCAGCACTCTTGGCTGCTATCCCGGCAGGTGTCCAGATCGTCCCCTGTAAGAAGTTTGGGTCAGCAACCCCGACACCCAAAGGATACTTCCTAAGGTATTTGGGGTCTAAATCGTCGATAGCATCCTGCTATCTATCGCGACGCCTAACAAGAGTCTGAATTAGCCTTTGATTACTGGCATCAGTTCTAGGCATATATACCCTCAGTCCTTTGGCATTTATCCGGTGCTTTCCCTCCTCGTAATCCGAATCCTCTGCAGGAATATCGATCATGCTATAATCATCTTCCTCAACGTGAGGGAAAGCCGGGTTCAACGGGGGGGATTCCGCACCACCCAGGTTAGCACCCGCGCCTGGTCTGTGGAGGACCGCCAATATCCTCCGAGGCCTGGCATTGCTGTTCTTCAACCAACCTTCGAGCTCCTCTGAATCGGTAATTTGTACCTCCACTGGCCGAACGGGAGGAACAGCTGCCGGGGGGACATTCTCAATTGCCCCCCAGATAGTCCTGACTGCTCTGCCGGGTGCGGTGTGCTTCAGGATCAAGTTGCATAGCTCGGGGAAAGTTATCTTGGTCAAAATTCCGATGAACGAAGGTTCGTTCAGGGGATCATTCCAGTCATAAGTAGGTGGTGGGACGAGCATAAAGAATGCCCCTAGAGCATCGGGGTCCACCACGGTAACCATTATGGAAGGTCGCACGAGTTCCGGAGGTACTGCACGCTCTTTCCCTTTGCGAGAGCGTCTTCCGGCTGCCTGACCACCGCCGTCATCATCATCATCACTATCACCGGCAGCCTCTTTGAACTGACGGTCTCCCTGTCCCTTTGATAACCTATCCTTCATACCAACATCTGCGATGAGCCACTGTAGAGCACTCGCCAGTGCTCTACGGGCATCGGAGTCACCCCCAGTCCAAATTGGCAGAAAACCGTTGAGGGAGGGCAAGTTCATCAAGTAAAGGCATAGGGCATTGAACGCAGCCATACCGGTCGTGCTTTTATTGACCCAACCCACATTTTGCATTTCCGCCTTTAGGCTGTTGCGGATGCTGGTGTACACTCTAGGTAGGTTGAGTAGACCTAAAGTCATCTTCGCTTTGCTTGCTTGAGTCATCTTGAATGCGGTCGAGCTCGGGGATGTCTCTTGAATACTCGGGGATGTCTCTTGAACACTCGGGGATGTCTCTTGGACAATCGGCGATGGCTCGGGTCTAATTTGTCTCTGTCGTACTGGTGAGGGGTGGTCTATTAGTTCGGACAGGCTTGCACTAGAAAATAACCAAGAGGGGCGTCGGGGCTTGAATGTAGGGGTCTCCGGTGCAAGAACCTTCGGTGGAGCACTGACGGGTGCTGGTGAGGGAGTGGTAGAGCCTGCTGGGCCTGTTGAGCGGCCTGTTGCTGGGCCTGTTGCTGCTGGGCCTGTTGAGCGGACTGCACTAGACTTGGACCGAGTGAGAACTTGACTTAGGACTATGGTCTTCCGGGCAACGTTCTTTTGTGGAGCACTAGCGGGTGCTGGTGGGGTAGCACTAACCCTAAGTACGGTCGTCCGTACAAGGGCCTCTGGTGAAGCACTGCTGCGTGCTGAGGAAGCAGTGGAGACTGCTGCTAGTGGGCCTGTTGCTGGACCTGTTGCTGGGTCTTGATCGTCACTTATGTATGGTTCAGAGGGTTCGGAACTAAAGTCGGGAAAGGAGTCGGAATCAGTTAGGGTTGCTCCCCAGTTACTCGGGAAGATCCCTTCAGTGTCCGATGGAGCTAGGTTAGTATTTGGCGGAGTCCGGGTTTCAGTCCGGATTGGTGGAGGTACAGGGTTTTGTTTTCGGCTCTTGTTGATCGGGGTGAACCCGGAAAGCACTGGCGACTGCTTAGGGGGTGTTTCTGGTATCTCCTCCGGGATAGGCTTGACAGTTTTGCGGGACGATTTGCGACCTGAGGAAGTTCGGTGTTTCTTATGTTTTCGGGACGATTTGTGTTTCTTGGTTTTTCGGTGGGTCTTTTCGTTATCGTCTTCGTCTATGTCACGCAAGCGCTTCTTATTGGGAAGTTGATTTGTGTTCTGTGAGCTACCGGGAGTGCTCTGAGCGGTGTTTGGAGTCTGATAATGTTAATGTATCACTGTGGTGAGTATGGTTCTAAAATTAATTGGATTAGGAGAGAGAAATACCATCTTATTTATAAAGATTGCAAAGGTTAAATCGCTTGAAAACGGAGGAACTTGAAGGATGAGATTTCAACAGGTAATGTTGAAAGCAATGGAAAACTTGAAGTGATAGGTAGAGGAGAACTTGAAGGTGGTTAGGAACTTCTCACGAACTTGAAGGAAGGGAGGGGTGCTCTTATACCGAGTACGATCAGCTTTTTTCTTGAGCTTATCACGCTTCCGAGAGCACCCACGAATGCTCTAGAAGCGCTCGAGGGTGCTCGTACTCAATGTTTGCTTCAATATATGACGTTGATCTAAATGCTCCAGGCGCACTCAGGGATGCTCTGACGGTACCAATGGTGACGTCGATAACATTCTGGTGTTGGGGTTGGTGCTTGTGTTGTTGTTGGTGTTGGTACTCTGTGCTCTAGGAAGCTGATTCGGAGAGAATGTATTCTTTGAGCTCGTAGTCGATATTAGTGTTGAATTTGGCGCTGAGAACACTGTCTCGATCTGAAGAGACTCCGCGAGTGCTCAGGGAGAGAGTGCAGATGCTCAGGGCGATAGAATCTAGCATTACTGGCCGCCTGATTGGGGTGGTGGGTGTTTCTTCGTGTTGGTGTTGATGTTTGTATTAGGTTGGTGATGTATGACATCAGACTCGTATTGAAAATCAGCCTTGCCGACCGGGGTGCAGGTGAGAGGAGCCTCATTGGCTGACAAATCAAATCATTCGAGCACTCTGCAGCAGCACCTGCAGGAAAGAGCCTCCTCGGCCTTGGCAGAAACCAAATTTTTAGAGCACTCAGGAGTGCTTTGCTAGCATCATGAGACTTCAATGAAATCGTCTTGCCCCTTTTGCAGCAAGCGGTACAGCTCCTCCGCGAACTTCGATAAACATCTTCGAACTACACATCCATTTGAAGCAGATGAATGGCTGGGAAACCAATTTTTACTCCTGGAGCGCGATCAAGAGGCACCCGATGACACTCACGACAGCCCGGAAGGCATTCACGATTCCTATTCAGATGCCCATGACGACTCGGATAGTTCGGAGAGCAACAGTATCAATTATCATGACCAAGATCCCGATAATAATTCAGATCTGGAATCCGAATCATATTTTATGATGGAAGAGACAGATGGAGATGCAAATAGGCATGAGGCAGCGACAACGATTTACGAGGGTGCTGGGGAGCGTCTCTACCGCTCGGAGGACTACGACGAATGCTCACAAAACCTTCTCCGATACCCGTGGCACCCATTCAACTCAGCATACGAGTTTAGAATGGCACGTTATTTCATACTGTCGAAGGCCTCACAAGGAAATATCGACAGTTTCTTTCTACACGCTCCGTCAAGCAGTGGCGAATGCTCCTACAGGACTGGGCGAGGTTTTATAAAGAGGTTGGACGAAATGAATGACATATTGGGAAAGGCGAGCTGGCATCATTCGGAGGTGGATATTGGGGGAGAGAAAATCCCTTACTATTACCGGGATCCAATGGTAATTGTGCGATATCTTCTAGGCCAACGGGCCTTTCGGGAGTCATTGGTGTACGCGCCAGTGGTAGAGCATAATGAATCTGGCGAGAGAATGTACGGGGAAATGCATACGGGAGATTGGTGGTGGGAGACGCAGGTCTGGTAAGCCTCACAAGTGCTCTAGAGGCAGTCGCTAATGCTTTCTGGACAGAATACCTTACCGGAGGGGTCGACTGTGGTACCAATTATATGCGCGTCAGATGGCACACATTTGACAAATTTTAGTGGGGACAAGAAAGCCTGGCCAATCTATCTTACCATCGGGAACATCAAGTCATCGGTCCGGAGCAAGCCCACCGGGCATTCGTTAATTCTCCTAGGGCTACTGCCAGTCCCACCTAAGCTCGGGAAGAACTCACTCGCTAATTCCGCTTTACGACGTCAGAGTCAAATGGCGCTGCATCGCGCCCTTGGGGAGATCTTTCAGAGCATTCGGGAGTGCTCTCAGGAAGGCGAGCTAATCGCATGCGCCGACGGGTACGAACGTCTATGCTTTCCGGTGTTGTCGGGTTGGATCACTGATCAACCTGAGCATTCAAACTTACAAAATATTAGTACTAGCTCTTGTCCAAGATGCGAGGTGGAATTCCACAGTCTTGGGAGCACTCGCCGGAGCCCTACGCGCTATCACGAGGATTACCGGGAGAGGGTAAAGCTATTCAGGGAGAACCCGGGAAACCTGGGACCGGTGGAATACCTTGTCGCGAGATCAGTAAAGACACTCTTCAATGCTTTCTGGGGTATGCCGAGGGTTAATCCATACGATCTCAACAAACCGGACATTCTGCACAATATCTACCTAGGGATGTTGAAGCACATGATGGAGTGGGTTCAGGCTTTCTTGAAGAAGCACAATCGATTGGAGGAATTTGACAAGGCTTGGGCCTCGATTGCGCCTTACCCTGGACTGGCAGTACCGAACAAGGCATATCGTGCCACAACCCAATGGCAAGGGAAGGAGATGAGAAATCTGGGGCGGGTCGTTCTTGGAGCACTCGCGGCTGCTTTGAGAAACCCGGGGGTGGCTGTCAGGGGCGACTTCGCAAAGGCATTGAAATGTGTACGAGGCTTAATCGACTTCCACTTAATGGCGCAGTATGGGAGTCATACGACGAGCACACTGAATTATATGGAGAGCTATCTCGAGGATTTCCATAAGCACAAGGATATCTTTTTAGAATTCCGGGCGTACAAGAGGACGGTTAAGGATGCGAGAGATCGGACAAAAGCTGTGAAGACCTCAGGCTCCCAGAGCGCTCAGCGAGGTTTGGAGGAGATTCGCGAGATACGGGAAAGGTCTCACTTCAACTTCATCAAATTGCACGTGTTAACGCACTATCGGGAACATGTCGAGCGCTTTGGGAGCATTCCCCAGTACTCCACCGACATCAGCGAACTCGCCCATGTACGTCAGATAAAAGAGGCATACGGAGCATCCAACAAGGTCGATGCTGCAACGCAGATACTGGACTATGGGGGGCGGCGGTTGGCGTTAGAGATTCGAATGCTGAATCTGAAAGACATTGTTGGAGGTCCTGAGAGCACTGACGACATCCTTTGGAGCCATCGAGATAACCTGAAGGAGTTACTTGAGATTTTTAAAATCGAAGACCGGAAAAAAACACCAAATGAACGATCCATAGTAGAAGGCCGACTGCCTCTAAGGCGTCTTTGCAACCCCTCCACGAAATCGGAAAGACTTTTCAATATTGCGGATGGACTGCAAATAAGCCATACCACGTTATATCGCCTGATAAAGGAGTATGCAGAGGATGCGGGATGCTCTCAAAGCTTTGCCGGAAGCTCTGAGAGCATTTTAGAGTGCCGGGTGGAGATGTTCACATGTTTGCAGGTTCCGATACCAATCTTCCAAAGACCTGAGGTGTACGAGGTTCACAATATCAGGTGTACGGGAAACGCGGCTTTTAGGAAAGGGAAAATAAGAAAGGATTGGGTATGGGTGTCGGTAGCGTCCTCAGAGGAGTGGGGAGTGTTTCGGGGACGCTTACCAGGACGTGTCGAGGCTTTGTTCAAGCTGCGGGACAGTGGGGGGCGAGCACATAGACTATGTATAGTGGAGCTACTCGAGGCAAAGGATCGTGGTATCGCTGATAGCTCACATGGGCTCCTGAAGGTTTGTAGGAGGAGGAGGAAGAGGATGTGGGTCGTTAATATTCGGAGTATATTGGGAATGGCCCATTTGTTTGAGGTGGAAACTGGTAATTGGTTGGTAAATACTAGGATAGACTTGCGTACGTGGAATGAATTTAGTTGAATACTTGTAAAGCCGTGAGGGCATTCTTGAGTGCTCTAGGAACGTTAGACCCAATTGGACTCTCTAATTCAAAATTCGTGTCGTTCTGCTATGCATGCGGATTGGAAGAAGGAGTTAAAGTTTCGGCCGCTCAGTATCTGAGTCTGGCTATCCAGCAACCTCGCTCCAGGAGGTCAATGCCAGTCCATGTTTGCTGCTTATGCATGGACATTGAGCTTTTCAGACGAGCCGTACCATGGCCTCAACCTCAAGGCTAATTATGCCTTTCACGAATCGACAGAAACATACACGTCCGTCAAAGGTTGGGTAGTCGTCACCAGTATACAGGACAGTGCTCGTATCAGTATCCCGCGACTGACCGTACAGCGGCGTTGAGGATACCCACGTTAGATATCTTTTGAGGGACTGGTGCGGCCTTCCTATCCTTTGAGGACGGTGTATCAATCCAAAGGAGCCCAAATGAGGGTTGCCTCACCTTGAGTGGGTATGACGAATGCCTCAGCTCTGTGAGCATTGGTGAGTGCTCTGGGAGCACTCGCGGAAGCCCTCGCGGGAGCGTTCGCGGGAGCGTTCGCGGGAGCATTCGCGGGAGCATTCGCGGTGCCGTGAGAGCATTCGCGGTGCCGTGAGAGCATTCGCCGTGCCGTGAGAGCATTCGTCGTGCCGTGAGAGCATTCGTCGTGCCGTGAGAGCATTCAAGAAAACTGTGAGAGCATTGGGAAGTGCTCGCGTGTACTACTGACGTAATCAAAAGAAGCAAAAGTTCCTAGGTGCTGTGGGCGGAGTCACTCCATCCTAGCGTCTCCGGAGGGGGAGGGAATCTCATGGCGGCCCAGGCGACCAGAGGATTGGCGAGTGCCCTCCGGACGTGAGCCATATCTCCTGGCGGTCCCAGAGAGTGGGACGGTCCTGCGGCGGAGCCTGGCGCGAGGGTTGTACTCTGGCGGTGCCGGACGCGCTGGGCGCTCGTGGCGCAGAATGCCCGCCAGGACGTAGGGGCTGCGCCCTGGGTAATAGGCGAGCTTGCTGATGGCTGCCTTCTATCGGAAGGGAAGCAATACCATCGCTACCCTGCTTCTCTCTAAGCGTCAGCGAGTGTTTCCAGTTCCGAAGGCAACCACCCTTAGTCAAAGCCTTTGTAACACCTGCAGTCTTTGTTGTCACACAACCGGGACCTGCATGAATGAGCTAACGCTCAGGCGTA